CCCTCCCCCTGCCCTCAGCCCACCTCAGTCTGCTCAGAGAATTTGGCTCAGCTTTTTTGAAATGATTAATTCCCATGGGCTCTCTTCTTCCTCTCTTCTCCCCACAATTTCCCAATCAAGCCAATAAAAACAGTGAACCTGGTTTTTGTATATTAATGCATTTAACGTATCCTACAGTTAATATATACAAAGGAACATAAAAGCAGTGTCTTTTGCATCTGAGAATAATCCTGGACCATCTCTAAGAGCACATTTGTGAAAAGCACCTCTCTAGTTTCCCAGTTCTGGAAATGCCCTCCTAACACCCCCGGAAGGAGATGGTTAGGTGAGGTACTTCTAAAAGTTTGACTTTATTTCCTGTACCAGACATGTTACCTTTGACAAGAATAACACGTAAGTGACAATGACTTGAGTATTTCTTATGCTAGTGCATGAAACATGACTCCAAGCCAGTGAACCAGATAGTCTAAGACTCCCCCGAACAAGCTTGTCATGAATCAATAACTATTTTTAATAGTTTATTTTAATGGTCAAATAGTGAATTATAAAATGTCTTTAGAGCAAGAGTGAAGACCACTTGGCCAAAATCATGTAAAAAGTAACACTCAGCCATCACTCATTCAATCTTCCTTTCGCCTCTTACCTTTATATAACATTGTCCGGAAGTCTTTGCCTTCCCAATAGCTTATGTTTACTCTTGTGAAAACATTATATTTTTCTGGATAATGAATTTCAAACAGGACTCCTGTTTCAGGTGAAGGTTTATAGTCATATATTGAAACACTGGTTACAGGCAGAGGTTCTGCAGAACAAAAGTAAATGAAGAAAGGGGCAGAGGGGCACAGGGAGAAAAGCCATTACCCATACTTGGAAGCGACCAGGAGTCTATCTACCAAAACTTTAGGCGCAGTTTGATCATCTGAGGGCACTGACTTACTCAGTACTCAGGAGCTGAGTGTTCTCAGCAGTAAGTGATAAAGTACCTTTCATAGAGTGTTTCCTGCCTTTCAAAGAACTTTGATATTTATTTTTCCATTGACCTTCTGCAACAACCCTGAATCTAGGAAGAGCAAACAAAACAGATAAAAATAATGATAACTCAGCCTTCCATGGGCTTGTCAAAGGAAATTCCACAAGTGTGTGGCAGAATCTGTATCTCCAGATTCCTAGTTCATTTTCTTTCCCCCAAGCCAATAACATTTGATATTAATAACAGACCAGTAACAGAAAATGCATTTTGGTTGTGACCAAGGATAAATGCTTACTGGATCTTTATTTCTTTGTGTAAACTTAGCACTTATCTTTCCATATTGAGTATAAGAATGCAAACCATCCATTGATGTGAGAATTAGAGTTAATGGTGTTTCTCAAACTACTCTTTCTATGGACGTTTTAAGAATGTTTATTCCTCTTTTGCTCAAGATGTTAATTCATCACAAAACTTTTTAAATATTCATTTTTTAAAAAAAACTGTGATTGATGAATATCTGTATTTTCTTCACATCCTGTCCTGCAGCAAAAGCCTTGTAACACGACAGAGCTCCCTGACGCGTCTAAGGAAACTATTGGATAAATTTTACTCACATTTATTTTATTCAAGAAAATTTTTAAAAACAATCTGGTTTAGAGTCAACTATTGTATTATAGAGAAAAAATACTTCGATTCAAAGTTTTAGAATAGAGAGGATTTTGGGACATCATCTATAAACTAAATGAAAACAATATCCTTAGTTTAAATTTTACACTTTTAAAATTTCAGTTCAAATAACATAGGAAACCAAAATGTTCATTCTACTTATATGCTTAGTTCTATATAAGTTATATACTTACAGACTTATAGACTTAGTTCATTCTACAAACAATTACCGAGTACCTACTTTGTCTCACTGTGTAGCTAAATAACTTTCCTTTTGTTACTCGGGACCTTAACCTGCTTTTGCTTTTGAAATCCAGGAAGGATTGACATTACATGTTAAAGCTCTGATTTTCCCTGGAATTTTCTTAAAATACAAGCCAACATCTATAAAATATTAGAGAGGCCTTTAGATTGCAGCATGTATCGTGATCATGTCTCTGTAGACTATGTGCTATATTCTCCGTTAAAATGTTTCTAATATCTTTGCCTCCATCCCTGGTCTTCCTACTAACAGTAATAGTATCACTTATGTGTCACATAAACAAACAAACAAACAACCTCCCTCCTGAAGACTATTTCTCTTTGATTAATCCCAACAAAGTTTTGAGCCATCTGAAGGTCTTTCTTTCAACCCAGTGTAACTACTAACCCAGGGAGCCTACCAAACCCAGCTGTTGGCTTTGGGTCTAAGAGAAACAAAATGGAAACTAACAGCAAAGAGCCGCCACAGAGCAATAACCCTTCCATTGCTTCAGTCCAGTTTCACATCCTCACTGGGGTTCTGTCTACTGAGCAGAGAAGTTAGAGGCCCATTCACTCTTCCATGCCTTGAGACATGAAGTCTGAACATCAAAGTACACTCAAACTTTGAAATTCAAGAAGTACATGCGGATTAAAGCACAGATATTTCATTTTGTGATTTGTTTTACTGCTGCAAGCTACTTAAATTTTAAACTAAGAGAATTTTAAAAATGCCCACTTACAGGTTTGCTTCTTACACTTCCCTCAGCTTCAGCATAAGTGACTCCGGTCAGCTGTATATTCTGAGGCCCAAGCCCAGGCATTACTGAGCCATATTTAATCCAAGAATTACTGTTTTCAGTAGAATGCAAATGCATTCTCTAAAAATATTTTACTGTCTCTCCAATTACTTCACTCATCATTATATGTGTGGTGTCTTCCCAATGTTCCCTATAGGAAAGCTAGGCACCCTCTCTTACGTAATTCTCGTATAACATTTATCATATCTTGTGATGGCTTGTTTATTTGTCTTTTCCACTTTAGTACAACATCTTTGGGTGAGGGTATTTTTACTGATGTTTATTTCTCTGGCACCTAGGACATGGGATAGAGAATGTAAGCAATAAATAAGATAGAAGCTCATTAATTATTTTTATTTATAGTAGGTAGATTTGTGTAGAATATTATATTTGTAGAGTGTCTCCATGTGTGTTCTGCAGTATTTGCAGCCACTGTCTCCAGAACTACTAACTGAGGAGATAGCTGTAAATAATAGCTGTGTAAATAATATTTTCCCAATCTCTGAATGATTGTTTTCATGTATTATTTTATCTATCGAGAAACTACTACTTCTCTCTAAAGTTCACACAGTATACTGAAGGTTCTCAATCAATTAAATATTAATCAGATGTCAGAGCCTAAGGGTTGTGAAACTCTTTTGAACTGGCCAATGTATTTGCGTTAAATTTATTCTTTGCCAAGTTTCTCAGCTTTCTCTGAGAGCACCAGACTCAGGACAACTATAGAGAAATATCAAAGCCCTCCCCCAGGGCCAAGTGCTTTGTCATTGCTTATTTCATCAAGACAAGGGTCTAACAAGCAGTAAATGACTGCAACAAGGGTGTTCTTTTATTCTCAAGAGCAATATCTCAACTCTGTGAGTAGATACTGCAAATATTTCCTAAACTTTTAAGGAAAGCTTCCCGTTAGAAAAATAAAGATGGCACAGTTACATCATGAACTAACAAATAATGATAATTTTAAAACTCAAAAGTAATCATAGTCAATGTGTATTTGAATTCTCTCTCTTTTTAAAGAAAAAGCTGAACCTCAAATGTTACCTCATGCCTAATGTCCTAGGAGTATTTGCCATTAATACACAGTTTTTTAGTCCCAACCTATTATCCCTTTTGAAATCTGAGATGATGTAATGGAGCCTTTAAAAATGGGACAGAAAAGGAGAGGCAATAAGCCATATTCATTTTTACTTTTTAGAAATCAATGCCAATTTCCTCTTCCGTGTAGGAGGTAGAAAGCTGCAAGTCAATCTCATTTCCCGACACCCAACAACAAGAAGAAAAAGCCAAATAATTCATGAGACCATAACTTTTCTGGCATCTGTCAGAGAGGTGAGGTTGCAAGGCAACCAAAGGGAGTAGATTCCAGAGTGACAAGCCCCTGTGAGGACAGGAGGGACACAGTGTTTTACCTAGTGGGAGCATGGTAGGAAGAGTTAAAGCGGGAAAGGAGAAAGCAACTAAATTTTAATGAACTCATAAGGATGAGATTTAAGTTTAACAACATGAATAATTACATTAATTATAAATGCTCTAAACTTGCACCAGCAAAATTGGTAGCCACTAGCCACATAAGACTACTGCGCACTCAAAATGGGGCTAGTTTAACTGAGAGAGTAAATTTGTTTAATTTTAATTAATGTATGTTTAAAACTAAAAAAGTGTTATTTTCTTTTTATATTGATTATACATTAAAATAATATTTCAAATACGATGGATTAAATAAATCATGTTATTAAAATTAACTTCACCTTTTCAAAAAGTTTTTAGATTTTTCTGCCAGAAAACGTAGTATTACATATGTGATTAACATTCTATTTTTATTGAATAGTGCTGGCCTAAACACTTCACTTAAAAAGCAGAGAGATTTTCCAGATTGGAATAAAGCAAGCTCCAACTCTATGCAGTTCATAAGAAACCCTCTGACATAAAAAAGACATAGTAGATTGAAAGGGAAAAGACGAAACAAGTGTACCATGACAATACTTAGTAAAAGAAAAAGAAAAAGTCTATATTAATATCAGACAAAATACACTTCAACACACTGCATATTACTTGGGATGAAGAGAGAGGGGCATTGCATATAATGAAAAGCTCAGCTCAACAAGAAGACATAGTGATCCTAAAAGTGTTTGCACCTACAACGTAACAACAGAGCTTCAAAATATCTAAACTAAGAGAAGTGAAAGGAGAAATAGACAAATCCACGGACATAGGTGGAGACTTTCACACTCCTCTATCACGCATTGTTAGAGCCAGTAGACAGAAAAGCAGTGGGGCTTTAGAAGCCTTGAACAGTCAACTTGACCTAACTGACATTTATTAAAATATCCCCCAGCAAGCGCTCGCAGCATATACACCGGTATAGACCATATTTGGGACCATAAAGCAAATCTCAACAAGTTTCAAATAATTGAAATCACAAAAAATATGTTCTCTGATCACATAGCATTTACTTAAGAATCAATTTAAAAAAATCTCTGCAAAATCGCCAGATTTTTGGTCATTCAACAACACACTTCCAAGCCCACATGTCAAAGATGAAATCACAAAGGAAAACAGAAAATATTTTAAATAGAACTCCCTGCACGTGCTAACAGGTCCATGAGATATTCTAGGAATCTTCTAAGCAAATACTTACCTGTTGAGTTTCTTTATGAGCCGTCAGCTGAAGGGTGACTCCTCCAGCTTTGTCTAATCAAGAGGGGCTGAGGGCCTGCTAATGAATGTTGAGTCGGCAAGTCACTACAGTTTTAGTTTGCTTTGTGTTTTAGTCTTTTTTTTTTTCTCCTGGTTCTTCCTCCTATTATTTGCTTAACTAAATTGACTTAATATTTATTGATCATCTATTAAGCATAAGGTTCATGCTAGATGCTTATGAAATTATGAAAATGAGTAAGGCAAGGCTTCTGATTTCAAGGAGTTGTATTATACGTGTTATGTACCTAGGTCTACTGCCTGAATCTATTACATCCCAATTCACCTTTTCTGGAACTTGTTTAAGACAGTAGTTACCAGGCAAGTTCGTCCTTTGATTCACCTAGATCCTAAATTTGTTCATTATATCTGTAAACCTTAAAGGTCTTGGGTCTGTGCCATTTCGAATTTTTAGGACTCAATACAAATCCTGGGATTCTGCCAAGGGAAACGAATTAAATTTTTATAGACATGTTAAAAATATGTCCCCTAGCTTAAATCTGAGTTCTTGCTTCTTGGTGTTTCTCTACTTTATCCCAACAGAAAATATCACTATGTCTTTTTCCTTAACTGTTGACAGAATGATCACATGTAGCTGGTATTCTAAAAATTGCAACCACTGAAAATTTTGTACTGAATAACAATGAGCGAAAAGAACTTTGTTGAGCTGTTAAATTGCTCTAGTGATAAACTCTGCTATATTACAGATGACAGTTTTTCTTCTACACCTCAACACATACAGTAGAATTGCATCTTACTTTGAGATTAGGTATTAGAGTAAAGTGACCATCACATATAGTTAAAACCAGTTGTAAAAAATTCCTAATATCAGAATTAACTTTTAAAGACATGGGCTACTGAAGGTTAAAATGCCAGTGATTTTTTTCTTGGCACTTTTCTTGGGCACTGGATGCCAAGGCTATTATGAGGATAAGGTAGGGAATAGTGACTGATAAATAATAATATCTTTTTCTCTCTCTCAGCTAAAAATGTAAACTAGAATTTGAGCAGGCTATGAGTATAAATTCATGTCTCAAAACTCAAATTGCTTAATATGAGAATACGTGTCATGGAAAACAAATAGCTTAATTATGATCATACTATTAAGTTAAATAGTGGAAAATTACATGGTCCAATAATGAATTTAACATTATCATTCCGTCTTTAAATACTTCATTAAGGTTCACTTTCTTTTAGTTTTAAACATTTTTTAAACAAAATATAATAGTAACACATTATCAAACTTCAGCAAGAAACTGTTTTCTTAATATAAAGCAGAAAGTTGAGTTTCTGTGACTTAACTCCAAGGTGAACTTGATGTCACTTGATCTTGCCATTCTGGGCTGATTTCTCTTTTAATTAGAATCCCGTGAGAATACACACAAAGAAGAAATACAAAGGACAATGTCACACGTGATGCTTACTTGTTAACACAGTGATAGATCTCGATGGCTTGGTAACCACGTGTCCGTTTACCACTACCAGAGTGATTATATAATAGAGGCCATGGTAGTTGGCCTTAAAGATCACAGGAGGAGGCAAAGTGCTGTTGAATTGCTCAAACTCGAAGAAGTAATTTTTTGATTCACCGGTTATCTTCACAACATACACAGATGATGGACTCGTGACATCTGAAGCTTCTAAAGAGATGACGATGCTATTATCATCTTGAACAGTTACATGGAATGTTGCAGCGTTCTGTTTAAGAAAAGAGAAAACACGGAAATGGAGGTCAAATTCAGGTTATTAGCAATAAAATTATACTGAGACAATTTTTCCAAAGCTAACACTGTGGTAAGTATTACTTTATAAAATAGAGTTGCACCATTACAAGGAAAGGCACAAAGAGAGATTCATTCTCTCATGTCTCATGATTTTCTTGGGGTTTTTCTTCGGGGATTCTTCTTCAACAAAGAGCTGCTTCCAGACATTTACCACCCAAGCAGCTATAGCTTGTGGTTCCCTCTGCTGGGACCACTGGGTGTGTTTGGAAAGGACCAAGATGCCCACCAAGGTCTGCTTTTCCAAGCCCTGGGTCTAGAAGCAGATCAGGCAAAGACTCAAAGCAGCCAGAGGCTGATTGTTAATCAGTCTCTTAATGAGCCTCAGCCAGTGGAAACTCCACAGGGTGCGGTGAGAAGTTTTGCAACTGGGTGGGGCAATTGCTTCCCAACCCACCCCCCAGGCAAAATCTGCTTGGGTAGTAAATGCCTGCCTGAGAAAGATGCCTCTTGCCTATGGGGGAATAACTCAGCACAGGAATCCAGATGGCTGCCCTCTGAGCGCTACCCCCTGAGCCAGCAGCCCTGGATTCTCCCCACACAGCTCCAGTCCACTCTGCCCTCCCTCCGTGGAGCCCAAGGTGAGTGGCTGCACACGAAACTCTGTGCACTGGCCCTTCAAGGGGGTGCCTGCAGTTCCAGCCGTCTCTCCCAGGCAGACAGAAACCCGGCTGCTTTTCACAGCCAGATGTTATGTGGGCACCTGTCCCAGTTCTGGTGCCCTGGGCTGGGAAGCCCAGCTTGGGGTTTATGCCCCTGAGTCCTCAGTGGGAACCCCCACAGCTGAGATCTCCCTCAGGACCTTCAGCTGCTGCCTGTGGGAGCCCAGCCAGGCCTCTCGCGGCCCCACGCTTCCTCCCAGTCTCCATGTGGCCTCCACTTTTCGTCCTTGGTTATGAGGGTGCTCTCCAGCTAGCCTTCAGTTGCAGTTGATTATTCAGGATGGTTTTTCTATATTTTAGTTGTAATTCCATTTTGGTCCTGGGAGAATGTCTGTGTAGTTTCCACTCAATCTGCCCCCATCTTGAATCCTCTCTATGGGAACTTTTACAGTTTGGGGGGCTGTGCAAAGTTGTCATCTGGTGCTACCTAAGACAAGCTTCGTAAAGGTAAGTCCTCTTGCTTATGAAACCTGCCACTTACCAAGGCGGAGTGGTCTGCCTTTCTTCCATCTCTCCCTGCCCTCCTGTACAAGGGCTGGTTTCCATTACACCTGGGAAGTTTCTGGCTAGTTTGTAAACCAAGACTACCTTTGAGACCATGTGTAAAATGTGACCCATTCAGTACAGTCATGCCCTGCACGATGACATTTTGGTCATCAACAGGCCAAGTATGTGATGGTGGTGCCATAAGATCATAATGGAGCTGAAAAACTATTGCCTAGTGTGGGCTGTAGTTTTTGTGATAGTGTAGCCTTTGTAACATTGTGAGGCCACAAGCCATTCCTCATGTGTTTGTGGTGCTGCTGGTATAGACAAACCTACTACTGCACTGCCAGTCTCATAGAAGCACAGCACATAAATCACATACAGTACATAACACTTGATCATGGCAATTAACAACTATGTGACTGATTAACGTATTTACTATACTATACATTTGATGATTGTTTTAGGGTGGACTCTTTCTACTTATAAAAATGTTTGCTGTAAAACAGTATGGTGTGTAACCCCAGCAGCCGCCTCATACACTGGGCTTGATTTAATCTCATATTATTTTGTACAACAACATGCTGTACAGGCTTGTAGCCCTGGAGCAATAGGCTACACCGTATAGCCTAGGTGTGTAGTAGGCTAGACCACTGAAGATTGTATGAGGGTGGCCCATGATGTTTGAACAGCAACAAAATTGCCTAGTGACATTTATTTCTCCGAATGTCCCCTGGTGCTTAAGTGGTTCGTGACTTTGTTGCCAGTGGCCCAGGGGGAGCTGTGAGGCTAAACCAAGCGCTGAATATGCAGTGCATTGAAGTCTGGCTTTTATTCATCATTTATTATGGGAGCTGATTCATGAACTCAGAAAACAATAAGTTTACAAACATCAAATTCATGTTTATTAAGAGTTTTTTTTTTTTTTGCTCTATGTTTTAACAGCCAATATCTGAAAGCTTTATGATGATGCAAAGAATAGATTCAGTTTTGTAGTGTTTAGGAAATATGTGTCTGATGTGTCATGATGCTTCGTAGTGAATCTTCCAGGGAAAAGGGCTGATCTTCCAAAATCAAAAGACAGCTTTGGAGATAATTATATCAGCCATGAAAATCAGCGTTGGCCCCTGGCTCCCAGGTTGCTAAAAATAAACCAGGGTGGGCTAATCACATTCAGTCAGTGGAACCAAAGAGAAGGCGGCAACGGTCCAAGTGAGATCTAGGCAATGAGCCTAAAAGGAATGTCATCATGTTATTTCTTCTCTGGCCCCTTTGCTTCAGCTTTTCCTAGAATCTATATTTAGGAGAAAATTCTGAATATATATTGCAGGCATGTAATCCCTGCTGAGAAATAGAGCAAGAAGGAAGAGTTAAAAGTAATAGAAATGGATCTGCCAAACTTAGGCAAGGCCCACACTGATTTATTTGGTGGATAGAAAAATATTTAAAACTTTTTTTTTTTCTTCAGAGATTGAGTAATAGTATTGCTTGACTTGGCAGTGAAAATATTTTCACTAAAATTTCCTTTGTGTAACAAACTTGAATATAGAAATCTCTCCAGTCCGACACCCCTCATTTCACACTTGAGATAACAGTGGTGCAAACTAATGTCAGGACAAGGTGTGGGATCCACATATCATTGGTATGACTCTTTTCTGAACTAGAGGTAAGCTGCTTGAGGTAGTGAGAAGGGCCTGGGTGCTTGGCGGCCCCAGGAAGGAGGGGCCCAGGAGTCTGTTACCTGTCCTGTAGCTAGTCCTGGAGGCTGTAGAACATACTAGAGACAGAATGGGCAGCACTGAAGAGGAGGAAAATGCAGGGTGAGTCCCTAGGCTGTGGGACAAGAAAGAGGGCTGGCCACAGACACATACCAGTCAGAAATCCTAGGAGGTCCTCCAGCATCCCTGACTGTAGCAACTGTTATCTATTGATTCCCTAATCTGGACCAGGCTTTGCAATGGACATTTTATATATATATTTTTTCTTTTGTTTCTTACAACAACCTTCAGAAGTAAGTTTATTCCCCCCGTCTTACTCAAGAGAGGTTAATTTGCTTAAGAGCAGAGCAATAAACTTGGCATCAGAGAGTCTGCGTCCCGCTTCCTTTTCTGCGGCCTATTACCTGTGAGAGCTCGAGGGAGCCCAAGGACCTCTTAACTTCATCTTCTTAATTTATGAAATAGTGGTAATTCCTATCGCTCATGGGATTTTTGTAAAGATCAAATGGCTTTTATAAAAATGATAACAGTATGAACCCAATACTTATTAGTTGTATTTCAAAGGTTATTGTGTTTTAGTTAAGTCTTGAATCACTCAATGACCTTTTTTTAAATATACCTTTATTGATTTCAGAGAGAGGAAAGGAGAGGGAGAGAGAGAGCTAGAAACATCAATGATGAGAGAGTCATTGATCGAGCCCACAACCCAGGCATGTGCCCTGACCAGGAATCGAACCCCGATCACCTGGATCCTAGGTTGAAGCTCAACCACTGAGCCACGCCCGGCCGGGCTCGATGACCTTTTAATTATAGGGGTTCTATAAACTTTCATTTAACTTCAAAACACTACGAAATTCTTAATTATGTTCACTGGATATTTTATGCACACAACATTGGAGAGCTATCCGTTTGTTAATTCAACAAGCAAACATTAGCTAAGTGTCAACTTGGCATCAGGCATCATGCTAGGTGTTGACAACAGACAGATCAGTAAAACAAGGTTCTTGGACTCCAGGAGCTCAGGTTCTAGGAAGAAGGGCACATCCAAATGCAGAATTATAACACAATCTGAGTGTTATTAGCTACAGGCTCTGAAAAACTAACTGGTTGAGCCCAGCCAGTGTGGCTCAGTGGTTGATCATCGACCTAGGATCCAGGAGATCGAGGTTCGATTCCCGGCCAGGGCACGTGTCTGGGTTGTGGGCTCAATCCCCAGTCAGGGGCATGCAGGAGGCAGCCGATCAGTGACTCTCATCATTGATGTTTCTCTCTCTCTTTCCCTCTCTCTTCCTCTCCCTGAAATCAATAAAGACATATTAAAAACACACACACACACAGAAAAACACCTGTCTGCTTGATACCTGTTTTCTCTGCCTGTCTGGAATCCCTTCTAATACTTCACCCTTTTGGAACCCTGCTCCTTTCCCACTATAAAGCCATGAGGGGTCCTGATGGGGGCTGCTAATTATGGTACCCCACTCCCACGTCAGAGCAGGAGGCACCTTGACCAACTAGAATGCTGGCTCTGAAATTTCATAACTGGAATTAGTAGGAAGGAGCTTTCTCCTCTAGTTTCAAGTATGTATGGATGGAAAGCTGGAGGAGTCAGTGTCTACAATTTCTGCCCCATGAAGACAGCTGCTTGAGGGAGGGGTTCTGGTCTCAATCATCCTACGGCCCAGCCACTGTGCAGTGTGGGGACATGAGTGAATAAATCTCAGCTTATACTTAAGTTTTTAAAGCTGGACTTCCCGTATTTGCAGCCAAAAGTGCTGGTCAGTACAAGAGAATTTTTCAGTGCTGTAGACATAAAGAGAAAGAAGCAATTAATCTGCTTCTGCAAATGGGCGTGAGGGGAGGCTTCAGAGTGGAAGTAATGTTTGAAAGTTACTCAGGAATTTCCCAGGGGAACAGAGATCAGAAAAGTGATCTAAAGAAGGGGAAAGAGACTCCACAGTCCTTGGAAGTGGCTGGATAGTGGTCAGATGCTCAGAGAAGGTTGATAGCCCCGTCCAAATAGGCCAAGTTAAGAAATTTGGATATTGTTTTGG